GGTGCCAAAGCCGATGGTGCGGATGGCGCCGGTGCCGAAGCTCTCCGAGAGCTGTGGTCACGGGGCCCAGTTCTCAGGATCTCACGACCCGCTTGGCTTCTTTTACCTTTAAAGACACTTTTCTTGGTGTAACGTACACGACACAACTCACGAGTCTCCTGGTGTAACGTGTACGGCTCAGGGCACTTAGTGCGGTGTCGTGCGGCCATCGCCGCTGTCCACTTCCAGACTGTCTGCACCGCCCCGGCGGACGGGGACCCACGAAGCAGCCCTCCCATTCTCCCGCGGCAGCCAGGCCGGCCTGCCCTGGACGTGTCATGTGGGTGGAGTCGTGACCTGTGGCTTTTGTGGCTGGCTTCTTTCACTCGGCCATTGCGCCCGAGGTTCGCCGGTGCTGCAGCGAGTCAGCGCCACACTGCTTTTCACGGCTGAGTAATATTCCTCGGCGCGGCCGGACCGCTTTCCATTCACCCTTCCCCCTCCCTGGCCATCTGTGCTGTTTCCACTTTTTGGCCATGGTGAATGTGCTGCCACGAACATTCACGCGCAGGTTAACGGGACACCGTTTTTGGGTCTTGGAGCATAGACCCGGAGTGGAGTTCCTGGGTCATCTGGCTGAATTTATTGAGGAACTGCCAAGCTTTCTCTTGCCTTCCTAATGCTTTCCGAAAAATAAAAATTCACCATAACATTGGTATTTCAAAATCAATCATAGGATGGTTAAAGAATTTCTAGACTGAATGTTAAAAACCTTAAGAGGTTTCTCCGAGGCCAAAATTCATTCAGAACTCTGCTAAGTCAACGAGCGAGCTTGAGACAGTTACCGTATTTGTTTACCTCCAGCCATGGCTGGTTCTTTCCTAAAACATTCAGCCTTTTTCAAAATTCGGCATCTCTTTAGAAGACGGTTATAAATAGATTATACTGTCACTGCCCACTTTGGTTTTATACTTTTTCTGGGTCACATGGAAGCTCTCTAATCTCTTCTGTGATTTGGTTAAATGTAGATTAATCCAAGGCAAATCCGAGTTACTGACCCATCTTCCTTTTTATGGTGCCTTTTGCTTAAATTTCATGGTTGCCCAGGACAGGGTAGAAGAGAAATAAAGTGATTACAGATATCACAGAGAATGCTGATAATTTCCCAACCTCGAATTGGCTGATGATGATCCCGTCCCAGCTTAAAGTGAACCCTGTGAAGAATGAGGGTGTCGGATGTCCTAGGCACGGTGAGTGCCCTGTGGGCCCACCCATTCCTGTGGGGGCAGCCCCCGTCCCTTCCCCTCCCCCCCCATCCTCCCCAGGGCTCCCTGGTTTGGAGAAGCTGTTTGGGAGTCTTCTCCACGAGAGGTCTGCTGTCACCCAGGGCTGAGATCCAAACTATTTAACCATCGATGGTGCACGGGTGGGTCTGCACAGAGGACATGGGCATCCTGTGACACAGCAGGTTCTGCAAGTCCCACCCCCAGGTCTGGCTCAGTGCTGTAGCTGCTGTGACGTAGGATGGTCTCGGGGTTTGGGCTGGCATTGAGTGGCCCTGGGTGGGGATGTGAGGGTGGCAAGTAGTTACCAACTGATACATGAGAACTTTAATATTTTAACAGCCAGCGTGACTGCACCGCTGGATTAGATCCCTAGTACCAGAAACCATGGTGACATCCCCCTCCACCAGCATCCTTCGCCACGAGTCTTCAGGTCATGACCGTGCCATCTTCTGCAGGAAGCGGTTTCTGCTTTTCCTACCAGGGCAGGCAGAATCCTGCCTACTTAGCTCGGCTTGCGACCATGAAGAGATACCCGTTCTAGAAGGCTCCCGTTGTGGCCAGGCCTTCCTCGTGCATCCAGGAAGTCCCTGCTCTGATGCACTTGGCATGTCCGTAGTCTTTTTCCTAAACTCCCAGTTGCACTTCGTCACTGTCCTGTTTAATAACTGCCAATGTTTTTTCAGTATCTAAAAATGACGTCAGAAGCCAGATCCGTGGAATGGGGCGGGGCGGACTCCTCCCCAGCAGCATGCACCTGCCTGTGGGAACCAGCCAGCAAGGCTGGGCTGAGCGGGTCAGATACCCAGGCGGCAAGGGGAGGGGGCATCCCTCTCAGTGTCCCAGCATGGCTTCCTACGTCTGCGTCAGCCCCTGCGGTCCTCAGACACCGCCCCCACCCCGGGGGATTTGCGTCTGAGTGGTAGGTGACCCTGCGCTAACCAGAACAAAGCCCTGATCAAGCCTCTGGGGCTCAAGTTGCTGACCACTGGGCTTCCGGGCTGCTGCGCTGCCCAGTGCCAACCCATGCCGACCCTGCCGGGGGTCCTGAGCCCCTGCAGCCACACAGGTCACACAGGTAGGTGGGCCTCTGCTCAGTCCTGCTCCGGGCCCCTCAGCCCTCCCCACCCCTGCCTGGGGCCCCGCCTTTAATGGACACAAAAGTCAGTAACACTGACTGTCTTTTTCTTCTTTTTTTCAGATGATGAAACTAACACATGCTCATTGCAGAAAACTTGGAAAATACAGAAGAAACTAAAAAATCACCCATGATCCTACCTCCCAGTGATAACTGCTATTAACATACAAAATGTCAGAGTGTGTGTGTGTATAATTTTTGTAATAAAACAGGATAATATTCTTTATGTAGCTTTGTCTTTTTAAAAAGAATTTTTTCATCTTTTTAGTTCTATTGAGATATAATTGACATATAGCCCTGAGTAGGTTTAAAGTGCACAGCATATTGACTTGACTTCCGTTTATTGTGAAATGATCACACGATAACCTTCGTTAACATCCCGTCTTGCATGGGTAAAAAAATTTTTCTTCTTGTGACGAGAACAGCTAGGACTGACATTCTTATCAACCTTTAGATGTTCCACGCAGCCGTGTTAACTAGGCATCATGTTGCACGTGTAGCTTTTTCCTTAACTTTGAGTTGCGAATATTTTCGTGGCTGTGTAACAGTGTCTTTACATGTATCCTCTTTTCTGCTTGGCCCGCATCTGTCCCCTGCCCCTGCGTGCGCACCGTCCCTGGGGGTGGAATTGGGGCCGTGGGGCCCCCCGGGGCCTGCATTCCTCTCTTCCTGTGGACTGCTTGGAACCTGGTTTGGCTGGAAAGCCCTCGCCTCCCCTTCTCCACCCTCTTCCAGGTCTCACTCAGGCGCACTTGACCCTTCCATGTGGGCACATCCTGTCCCTGGGAACTCATCCTTCTCGCTGGTCTTCCTCCCTCCGGCGTGTCCTGCAGAATGTGACCGATAGTCTCCTCTGACCCTGGCCAGGACCTCTGGTCCAAAACCGAATGCAGGAGCTGAACCTGGAAGCATATATTTTATTTTGAACAAACCGGATTAATTCCCTCTTTAAAAAAGGTGCACTTTTGTCCTGATTATAGAAAGAAATAATTGTTCATTATGAAGTAATTGGAAAATACAGAACAGTATAAGGAGGAAAATTAAAATCTAGGACTGTAGTACCCAGAGATAATGTTACGAGTTGGTGTATTTCCTTCTTGATACACACGCACGTAGATACACATATCTACAAATGGGCTTGCACACGTGTATGCGCGAAGGAGCGGACATCACTAGGAGGAGACTATATATATACTTCCACCTCCTTTTCTAATTTTCATCTTCTCATCCTTCTGGAGGAATTATCTTTGGGTTGCTACATGTAATAATTCATACCCAGGTAATATCTAGGGCTGCCAGAGAGCAAGGCTTGATACTTCAAACAGCTACATTAACGGGCTTTTGGTTACTTCTAGGTTTTTCTGTAGATCACATTTGGTTGAAGGAGATGAAGGTGGTGGTTACATGAGTATTTTCACTTTTAAAAGTTCATTAAACTTGAAAACTCATCAAGAGTACGATTTGGGACTTCTATATGTAAAAATTGAAAATACCATTCTTTAAAATAGTGTGATTTACTTGAACAAGTCAGCATGCACTCTAATAATATAGACTACTTAGAATGTGATAAATACCGTTAATAATTTAATATTTATTACGGTTACTTTTTCCATTTTCCTTATTTTCAATTAATCTTACTGGCCCATCAATGTCGATGGCAGTCAGTTTTCAATACAATTATTAAATGGCTGCTAGAATTTTGCTGGTACGAATGGTTCCAAATCGAAGATTACATCCCCCCGTCCGCATGCACTGAGGTGTAGCTGACAGCTGAAAATCGTTTATATTTAAGCTGCACCTTTTTTGGTGGTAAAATATGACGGCCAGGCGAATTTACTTTCTAATCACCTACAACACCGATATTCTGCTCTTCGCCCCCTGTCGCGGGCCACTGCAGAATGCAAGTACCGAAGCGTGCATCACTGTCCGCAATCGAGGCAGACGTCGTCGTCGACCCCAGCACCTCTGCCGCGTTTCCGCGCCCCGCCGCGTCGCGGTTGCTTCAGTGGATGCACGTGCGCCT